GGAGTTTATCTTTATTCCAACTAGCTGGGAAATTTGAGTTGCCAGGTGGGCTCTGGCAATAGGGGCGGAGAGTGGCGGGCTGGGGTGTCCAGTGCTGGCATCCGGGGCTGGGCTGCTGAGCCACGTGGCTGTGGTTGGTTTGGTGCATGCTGTCCTGTTAACCCTCTCGGCACCTGCCAAACGCAGTGGATGTTAAGACTAAGGCTGGGACCCAGCAGGCACTCTGGGCTGGAAGGAAGGGGGTGTGAGTCGGGAGGGAGAGGAAATCACCCTGGGTGCAAGAGAAGAAAGCTCCTCAAAGTTTGCCCAGGGAGGAGCCACCTAACTTAAGCGGTAGAAAGATTTGTGGGCAATTAACTTTAAGTGAATGCCTACAGGGACTCGTGGTGCCTGCAGGGCCTCTGAAGGCCCTCTTTCACAACCAGAGGGGAGGCAGGGCCGCAAAGTGAAGACCAGACACTTCTCCTGGTGTGGACCTGAGGCTGGAGAGGAGCTGGGAGGTGGGGGTGTGGGAGCTTCCCTGCAGAGGGAGCCAGCCTGCTGTTCTCCGCCTCCCAGAGCCAAGGCAGCTCCCAGCCAGCGAGGGCGTCAGCTCCCGTTACCTGCAATGCCCTCACTGGAACTGACCGGCACAAGGGGTTATGGGGGAGGAAGGGAGAAGGAGGTGGACTGGCAAGGGCAGTAGGGGAGCCAGAGGAGGGTGGGGTGTGGGTGTGGGGGAGGCTCCCCGCCAGGCTCTTGTTACTTTGCAGGAACGCCTCTCAAAATAGCTCCAGAGACCCGGAGCTCTCCAATTCCCTTCCTTCCTCCACCGGAAGGGGTCTTGGCCAGCTTTCTGGGAACCTTGGTCTCCCCACCCTGCCACTCCATAGAAGATGAGTACCAAAGGGTGAGTGTCAAGGGGTGAGTGCCTTCCGGTGTGCAGGCAGCTCTGGGAGGCTGGCAGCTGGAGCTTTGCTCCCATGACGGCCCAGCCTGTTCCCTGCGTTCCACACTGACCCTTCCACAGGCCTGCCACCCAGGAAAGGAAGACAGCTCTCCTTCTCACTCCAACCCGGCTCCTTGGGAGGGCCGGGAGGTGGGGAAGGGATGGGTAGGTGGACTGTGGCTGCTGCCTGCTCTCCTGGTGAACTGCTGGGCTGTTTCAAAGAGCCCTAGGTGACTCTTTCTCCTTCAGCCCAGGCCCACCCCCTCGTTTGAGCATGAAGGCTCTCTGGCAGCTCCTTGGCACGGGCCCCATCCCTCTCGGCATGGCTGAAAATGTGCTCTTCAAGGTATTTCTGAACTAGGCCACCGAAGCCCTGCAAGCTCATTCCCCATCACCAGGAATCAACCCCGCTGAGGCCACAGCAGACACCCACGGTGCCCTTCAGGGATTTCGTGGCAGCAGGCAGGGAAGGGGACCACTTCTCCCTAGCCCGGCCGGGCCCAATGGTTTCTGAGCAGGGTAAAGAGGTGCTCACTCCAAGAGAGACTTTTCAAAAGGTGGGAGAGAAAGGACCCAGATCCATTGTCTCGTCTCCTGGGTCAGCCCCTAGAGGATCCTCCAAGCTGGATCAATGGGCTCATAGAGATGAAGCGTTTTGAGAATTTTTTTGAGGGAAGTGCTCTATAAATGTAAGAAACCTCTAGCTGCTAATGCGTTTCTCAAGCATTTTTTTCCAGCCCAGCTGTGGAGCCCTCTGGGCGTTCTTTAAAGGAAAGCTGGGGGTGTGGGGTGGGGCAGCCCGGGAATGGGGGAGGTTCTAATCCTGGCATGTACAGGAGCTTCTCTGTGACCTTGGGCAACTCCGCAGAGCTCCTGGAGCTTGCTTCTTCATCTGCAAGGTGTGGGGGCTTCCCAAGAACACCCCCAGTGTGGGGATTCGTGAGAGGCCAGGCAGCAGCCAAGCTGGAGGAGAGCACTGAGGAGATTGGGCCTGGTGCCTGTCACCAGGATCTAAAGAGCCACACGGAGCTTGGTCCCCTTCCTCTTGTCTGGGCCGGGGTCACTTTCCTCCCTGTTGTTGGCGCTTGCTCTGTGAAACATGACCCCTGCTGTAAAAATAAAGTGGACAGTGTGGGTGCTTGACCAGATTCAAGCTCTGGGGGCATTGTCTGGGATCTTCCTGCAGGAGTGCGGGGTGGGGGAGGCAAGTAGGGCTGGAGAGTGTTGGCCTCTTTGTGGGGCCACTGACTTCCTTGAGAATACAGAGAGCTAAAATGTATTGACTGGTTACTATACGAATACTCTGGTAATATTAGCACTCTGTTGGCAGCCTTACCTGCAGTGCCCTACTCTGCCCTCATCACCAACTCCTCAACTTCTGAGGATGTTTGTGAGGCCTGGCGCAAGGGCACAAATGGAAATCATGCATCCTTTGTCCAAATGTAAGCAATAAATCAAGCGTTGCAATAGCTTTGAGCCTCTGTCCTTGATTCATTTTCCTTCTCGAGGCCCTAGGAAGGAGGCTGGGTACAAACAGGAACTTGCAGACGCTGTTCTCCTGCGATTCTGCACCAATGGGGACTCTGGCCCAAGCCTGTGACTGCCCGGGGAGCGGGTTGCAGCAGCCTCAGGCCTGGGTGTGCGCATCTCTTCAGTCGGCTCTTGTGAGGAGGGGCCTGTGGAGATGCCCACAACATTTCTACAAATGGGCTCTGGTTCCTCTGGGCAGGAAGCTGCAGGGTCCCAGATGCCCAACGGACGATCTAAGGAGGAGGGGTGCTTGGAACCCCCTAGGTCCCATAGCCTCTTTCCTCAAGGAGGAGGAATGTGGCCAGAAGAAAGCAGAGGAGCCACCCTCAAACACCTGGAGTCTGGGATGGGCCTCTCTCGCCCAGGTCTAAGGGTGGCATGGCCACCAACCATTCTATCAGGTGAATATCATGACTTTCTCCACGGCATCAAGCGCCAAGACAGAGACGCTTGCTCAGAGGCATGCAGTAAGTGAGAAACAGTGAAGCTGAAATTCAGCTGCTCAGATGCGACTGACCACACTCCCAATCACGATGTAGTCTAACAACTCTACCGAGAACCCCTTGGGGGTCTGCACTTCACATTCAACCTCCAGGGGTTCATGATCTCTCTAAAGCCCACCCAGGGACCCCAGATTAAGCAGGTCATGAACACCTTCCCCTCTTCATAGCCTGACCCCTGCATCAGTCCCACCAAAAAGTGCCTCAGGGGTCAGTCAGGCCATGGCCACAGAGCAGAGTCCCTGAGGTTGAATTGTCTCCAGAGACAGGAAGCAGGAGGGTTGGGGAAGGGGATGTTGAGGAGGGTAGTGGGCAATCTTTATCAGACCCCCACTAACTACTATGACTCCCTTCAAGTCAGGACTGTCTAGAAAGAGGCTAGCTTGTTCCCCAGTTCACCTCAGCCCTCCTTCCAGACTGTGACCCCAAGTTTGACCTTCACCACCCTGAAAGACAAGGGAGGCAGAAGGAGACTGCTTAATTTGCAGGGGGGTTTCCAAGGAGCCTGGGAGCTCAAGGAGGAGGGTGACAAGACAGAATCTGAGGGGGGACGCCGTGGGTGGGAGAAATAGGGATGGTCCAGAAGGGAAGGCAGCACGCGGGAGCAGACGCCCAGCTCCTGAAAGGTCGTGTCTGGCCGGCTAGACAGGAGCATGCCATTTCCGAGGAGACGGGCGCTTTGCAGCGAGCGGCCAGCCTGCATTGGGGAGCCCCTTGGAGCTGTACACGCAGGGGCGCAGGCGGCGCGGCGGTGCCACCGCAGTGGGCCGGTGTCCACGCGTCCACCGGCTGCGGCAAGCGCT